GGTCTGAGTTTTTCAGGAGTTCCTGTGGGTGTAAATCTCTATTTAACCTCAATGCACACATAGCTGATGGGCAAACAGAGCTGTCAAAAGCTGTAGCAGGCCTTGATCTTACTCTGTAGAGAGGACTTTTCAATATGAAGAAATCAGTTAATTTATTTCTACTTAGTAGCCTCAAAGAGGAGTTGGTGCTTTGCTCCGACTGCTTTTTAATGTCACTGTTATCTGATGCTGGTTGTAAAATGGATTAAGTCCTTTTCTGATACTTGAAAGGCACAAGTATTAGCACTGTGCTTTGAGAGAAGCTCTGGCATTTTCTGCTCCCGTCTCCCTTTGGTGGGAAGTGCTTGTTTTCGCGATGCAGGGCTGCGGTGTGCGACGGGAAGATGTGGCTGGTGTGAGATCTGTGGAGCATCCCTCACTGTGAGGTGCTTTTTGGCGCTCCTGTCTTAGCCCCTCTCTACCCTCCCTGTAAGCAGGTACCTCGTAGACCTAGAGATGCAAATAAAAAAATAATAGTAGTGCAGCTAAAAATCAGCAAAAATCAGGGTAACCTGGTATTTTGTTGTAAATTCATTTAGGCTTTTGTGAGGCAGAGATTTGGACATGGATGAGGAGATGTTTTGTGGTAGGAAGTAGTGACACCAGTTCCCTGCAGTGTGTGCTGGTACTTGGTGTGTACCCTGGGATTGCATCACTGGTGCCTTCTGTTAAATCACAGTTTCCAGTAAATTCCCAGCAGCCAGTTCTGCTATTTGGCTGAACCAAATTGAACTGGATGTCAGCAAAATTGTGTTACAAATCCCCATGCTTGATCCTGCCCTTGTCTGTAAAATCTTGTCTGCTCAGTCCCAAAACCTAGCTGCATTTTCACTCTCCCCAGCTGAAATTACAAGCAATTCCTCTGCTTGGCACTGATCCCCCTTTGCAGTTTGTGCTTGCATCCTGGGGGAGCCAGAGGTGAAAAGTGCCTGCGGAAGGCACCTGGATTTGTATCTGAACGAGGAGCCTAGAGATGCTGCACCTCCCTCTTTGGCATGGATCTCTGCGCTGTCTCAATGTCCCAGAGCGTAAAATGATTTGGCACTGCAGCCTGTGGTGAGCAGGGACCACACCAGGGGAATCTGGCTTCTTGACTGAATTTTGCAGCCTGCCATGAGCTTGGTGCTGCGCAAGCTCTGCTGATGCATCCATCGTGGTTGTTGGAGCTGCAGGGAGCATGGTGGAGAGGCATGTGGCAGGACAGGCTAAGTGGTGGTGTGGCTCGAGCCCTCTCTGAAAAGGATGCAAACCTCATCCGTGTTTGCATTTCGAGGGAGCGTAATCGTGTTTTTGAATTTCAAGGATATGTGAGAACATTAGGCTTAGATTGCACTCGGTGCTCTTGGTGCTGTATAGATGCACCAAAAAACCAGCCCTGGTCTGGAGAAGTTATAATCACAGAGGATTTAGCAGAGGGCTGGGTGTGCGAGTGTCCTGTGGGAACTTGCAAACCCTGCAGTTCTCCCAACCCAGGATCGAGGTTACTAGAGGCCAATGTGCTGTTGTCAGGAGGGGGTTAAAGCACAAGTGTCCCTCCAGTGAGCAACCTTGCGTGGCACAGAAACCTCCTTTTCATGCTGCTGGAGCCACAGAGAGGGCTTCTGTTCTCCGGGCACTGACATCAGCTGCTGGCCGGGATGTGAGTCACACTGGGAGCCAGGCACTGGTCCCCGGGCGCTGCCTCTCAGCACCCCCGGGTGGTCTGTCTTGTGTCTCGAGAGAGTGTCTCCAGCGATGTTTCAAGAGAGGCATCTCACCCTGGGGATGGTGCTTCTTGAGAGAACGCATGTTCTTGGTCAGATGCTGCTCGGTGGGTCTGAGCCCCTGTGGCTTGGTCCTTGCCAGCACAGCTGCCTGGTGTGCAGTGGGTGTGGCGTCAGCATGCATCAGGTGCAGTTTTGGCACGCATGGAGTACACCTCTGGCATGCATCAGGTGCAGGGTTTGCAGCCCCGGGCACAGGGTAGAGTGTGATGCCGCAGCAGCTGGGTGCAAGATCTGGTGTCTGCACCCACGGGCTGGTGCTTGTTCTGTGGATTTTGGGTGTGGAAAAGGGGGACTAAGGGCTGGTGTTCTTCCCCTTCCCCTCCATTTTTTGTCCAATGGGGAGGAACAGATGAAGTTGAAAGGCTCTGGAAAAGAATTGAAGTGGAGGAAGGAGGAAACCCTGTGGAAAAGTACATTCAGCTGAAGCAGACAGGACACTGTTTGCTGATCCTTATTCTCCTTCCAGCATGATCCTGCATTTAACATTGCAAAAGTGTCTGTCGGGACTTGCTCCAAGAAGCCTTTCCACACCCTCTCCTTGGATGTTTGAGGGAAATGTAGTCATTGCTTTAAAACAAATGACTACTTCTTCTTCCTTGGCATGCACTGACACCACTCCTGTGGGAAGCAGACGGGGAGGTGATGCTGTGCAGGTCACCTCTCCTGCTCTCCACAGCCTTGTCTGGAGCAGAGTAAAATCTCACAGGGCAGCCTGGCTCCAGAGTAAATAAATATCGAGCCAAATTGCCTTGGAAGGAGAGGGATCCATTTGAAAAAACCCACTCAAGAAACCAGCAGCAGATAGAACCTGCAGCCAGACTGCCAACATCCACTGCAGCATCAGCCGTGAGGCTGGGCCGGGCAGTGCAGAAGCCAAGTTGTCCTGGAGAGCTGCCTGCAGTGGGTCCAGCTCAGCCCTCCCTCACTATAGTGACTTTATGATACAAATAATTTAAACATCAAACACAGACCTTGCTGCAGTAAAGACAAGGTGCATCAAAGGGAGGATCGCAACGTGTTAGTCTTGTTATTATTTTTTTCTCTTGCAAAGGGGAGCACGCCTGTGCCAGGGACCTGCACATGGCATCATTCCCGTGCCACGATGC